GACCATACATAGCTACAAGGGAGGCTACACATGGACTCTTTTGCCAACCGCTTGGCCAGACAGCTAAATACTGGAGTCATGTTCTTATCACAAAATGATAGTGTCACAAGATACAATTTGGTGTTTCTTCCACAAAAGGAAACAGACATTAATCAGCTTGTGCTTAATGTTAATGAAGTTTTCAGGAAAAAAAGAAAAATCATTAAACTGGTTAAATAGGTTTACCTGACAGTCTTCAATCATGTACTAACATAGCAAATATTTTCTGAATACTTGGAATAGCATTTAACTAGGAAAAGAGCTCTTGAAGGATCAAAAGCTGTCTCAGCCGTAAACTAATCAAGGCAATGATTGTTGGGAAGTTACACACATGTCCAACTGAGAAATTTAAAAAGCAGTGTCCCATAAAGAAAGTACAAGAAAATGCTTTGGCAGTTCAGAATAAGAAAGTGTTTGGAGCTTTGTAGATGAGCTGACTTTTGAACTTGACTTTAAAGTGCCTTTGGAGTTTGAATATGTCAAGATAGCATTGTAGAATGGTTTTGTAAAAAGCATACATATTTAAAATAAGCATATTTCATTTCTACTTTGGTCTCTTTTGATAGAGCTATCTAAAATCATTTAACTTTCCCCTCCTCAATAGGCTTGTGCAAAAAGCCACCTACATGGGTATGTCAAAAGTACTGGGAAAATCACAAATTAGCAAATAATTCTTCCCCTCTTTTTAGAAATTTCAGATAGCAAATGCTCAGAAAATGGTTATTGAGTGAGGGGAAAAAACAGCATTAAAAAAACACATGATCAAGGGTGAAAGACATAAGCAAAAAATAGTAATTAATTTGGTTTGGCTAAACAAAGCATGCGTGAAGGACAGTCATAAGGAATAGGTTTATTTAGATCCATCCCTCATGTCCTACTGAAGAGCTTTGATTTAATTTTATAGGTATACATATAACATTGGAAAGTTTTGAGCCCATGGCTCATAAGGATTAATTTTGCAACACTCTTCAAGGTACATGTGAAAATATTATTTTTAGATAAGCAGTTATTGGAAGTGAAGAGGTGAAATAGGTGAATGAGTGGAATTGGAAGGAGGGGTGGGTGGAAAGGACTGATATTTAATAGTAGAGTCAACGGAACTCACGACTTTGGTAGAAAAGGAAAGAGACCAAAATGAACTGGGATATTTTAAGTAAAGGTGACAAGGAAGGTGAAGATGTCATCAACAAATTCGTCATGTAGAAAAAGTAGATTTGAAGGGCTGGGGATGTGGTTCAGTGGTAGTACCCTTGCCTAGCATGCTCAAGTCCCTGGGTTCAATTCCCAGCACCACGAAAAATAAAATAAAAATAAGTTTGAGAAGAAAAACTTCTTTTATCTTTCCAGCACGAGTGATGTCCAAGTAACAATGTCCAGCAAACAATTGCAGAATTAATCCTGGAGTTTGGGTCATAACTGTACATTTTTCTTTAGAGCATTCTCCATTACTAAATCATGATGAATCTTAATTGGGTGAAAAGAAGATGGCTCATAACAGAATGTTAGGGAATAATTTAGGGTTGGAAATTGGAAAAAGAAAAGAAGTCAGAAAAGGAGTTCAGAAGAATCAGAACAACTGTTGCTACTAAGCATGACCTAAGTAAATAATTTATGATAAATTTAAAATATTGAGACTAAGAGGAAATAATATCTTGCTACTTCAGATTTTCCATTTGACATTAAGGAACTATAGTCAATCCATACCTTTCTAGAAGAAAACCAGTAATCAAGACATTTCCTTACCTGCATGAGCTAATTATTCTTATTTTCAGTCATCAGACTCATCCAGCTTAATTTTTTCCCCATATTAAACAGTAGGCAGTGATTAATACTGAGCTAGCTCCCATGAAGGCAAGGTAAAGTGAAAATACTCCTCCAGATTCAGAAATGTCACTAAGGGTTTGAAGGTCCCAGTGTTTGTAAATGTAGCTGAGAGCTAAAGAGACGGAGATTCTCTCTCTTCTGTGCCTGCCTCCCTCTACACAGAAAGATTATCCTTTGATGCAGTGTTAAAGTTGCTGTCTGCCTCATCTACCACCATTGGTGACATGATATTTTGAATTAAGATGAGTCAGTGGGAAGAGTTCCCTGTTGAACACTTCTCCATTCTTAATCCAAATTGATTCTTTGCTCCTCCATGGTCATGTCCACCTCTTGCTCTCCTATACAAGGTCAAGAGTTCTGGTTTCAGACTTCCAGGCATCTACCCTCAACACAAATTAACATGAGTAAACAATTGAAGATATTGCAAAAGAGGGGAAGATATAGGTCCTATAAAAAGGAGATTGCTTTAAGCCTTTGGAAGAATACTCTTATTGTCTAAATCTGAAAACTCTGTATGAAAATCAATTTAGAAATCATCCCTTATAATATCATGTTAAAACTACAAGATTTCTGAGGGGATGAGATGAAGTGGACTTAAAACAGATTTGCTACAAATTGTCCATGTTTGGTAGCTTGAGATTTATGTGAAGGAAAAATAATCATTATCAAGTAGTTAAATATTTTTGGAAAGATAGTTTAGTCAAAAGTATGATTTTGCTGGTAAACACTTTTAATTTATAGAGCTATAAAATCTGTTCTATGAATATGTAAGTTTGAATGGGTGAGAAGAGGCTATGTTGTTTACTGGGTTGGGAGAGAGGGCTGTGTTATACAGGATAGTGTTCATTTATGGGAATCCATGATTCTATGCCCATAACAAAAGCTTTTCTACATACATGCTAAGAGTCTAAAAAATAATAAATATAATTTTAGGACATTTCAGAGTAAACTTGAAAAAAAAATGAAAGAAAGAAACTTAGTGTCTACTACCTCTTCTTTGTATTTTCAAAAGGTGGAGCTAATTTGTATGATACCTTCTGTCAATGGCACAATGTTCAAGATATCTGTGAAAGCTATGTCATGAGGTAAATTAAACTGTAGAAGTTATATGAACATCTAAGAAGTAAAAACAGTAAATGTCAGTGGAGTCAATATGAACGGACTAGATAAAACAATCCAATTTGGGTGGACGACATTTGAAAATGAGTTTTTAATTATCTTTAATTGACTATAACCCTCGCTATGGAATACCTAAAATGTTGAGTCAGCTACTGAATACAGTGGGAATTATCAAATCAAATTGGAACATGCAGATTTAACTCAAACTCTGGTTGGGGGCAAGTCATTTAACCTCTCTGGATTTTACTCATGCATTCACACATATTTTTTGCAATAAATACTCAACATTTCCCCACCTCATCCCTCAGTTTCTTCTCCCATAGACTGAGTCGTCTTAAGAGCGCTGTAGCTCTAACATGTATCATTGAATCATAATTACTGCTTAATGGGGGAATTTCATAAAAAGGAAAATTATGGCTACTTTTGAAGGATCACATGAATTTGGTTTGGATTATTGAAAAAAATTTTGGTCTGGACTAGGAAGACAGCAGTTACAATACCATGGAGCTAGCCTGAGCTTCACCAAGAAGAGCCAGAAGTCTACAGCACCTAGAACTGAGCCTGAAGATGCAGCAGGAAAATAAATAAATAAATAAAACCTGGGAAAGGTTCAAGGGTGGGTGAAACTGACTAATAAAATATCTCCTAGTGGAGGTGGGAAACCTGTCACTGAGAATGAATACAGGGCCATTGCCAGTTCAGAACAGCCACAATTCCACTTTCAGATGGGTCTTACTAGATTGGTGAAATGACTTGAGAACATTGGTTGAAAATGATATTATAACTGTGAGGGGGAAAAAAAAGTGTGACCGGGTTACTTATTTGACCTTCACAGTATTTCCATGTCACAGTAACATTTACACACAGGTAATTTTTAACATCTGACACTATGTGGGATTCTTTTTTAATGAAACAGTAAGATAAATTACTAATTTATTTTTTCAGTTCCAACATGTAATTTTAACCATGTAGTCATTCACTCCTCCACTCCCCTTCCTTTCCCATAGTTTTCTTTTTTTCTCTCTCTTGAGCACACTCTACCTACCTGAGTTCCCTAAGTCCCCTCAGAATGAAAAAAGAAAAAACTGAGCTGTGTCTATAAGCACCATGAAATAGTCCCTATTATTTTAAGTTTTAAAGTGCTGGAGAAACATTAAGTGAAATCCACCATACTCCTCTTACACGACGCATTTGACCTCTAGATAACGCTAAGCGCTTCATCCCCCAATGCTTTTAATTCTAATCCTTGCCGAGACAAAATTCATTGCTTGAATTACAAGAGTGAGTCTCATTAAGGCTAAAAAAGCAGTGACCCAGATAGCATAATGGATTAATACAGTGACCTTGCAATTTCAGAGCTTTACTTTCAAATCTGACTGTGCAGTCAAATCATTTCAATAGTCAATTAATCAATTGCTTAATACCAGTCAGTAAGCATTCTAAGTCTGGTAGTTAGGAGACCATTTTGGTCAGTGTTATTCTATAAAGAATTAAACTGAGAACAATGGTATGCTTATTAACTCTCAAAAACCTTTCTCCAATGATCAGAATTTTTCAAATAGCATTGAGTGAATTGCTGTGATGCCATAATCAGTAACAATTGTATAATTTGGACAGACATTCTCATAAGCACCGACATTCTGAAACTTAAATTGTAATCATATATACATATTAATGATATGTGTTTACATGGCATTAATGCAAAAAGATTGTAAAGTCTAATAAAAGTAATGTTGACTGAATTACCAGATTCTTACCTGGCTTATTTGTTTTCTGTGGTGTGGAGGCTTGTGCGCACTAGGCAAGCACTTTCCCAACCCCATGTTCTTTAAGGTCACATATTGTCAAGATTATTGTGCCACAAAGAAAATTAATGTGTGTATTGCTCAACAGGACATCCTAGAATCTACAGAATTTATTTATTTATTTTGGGGGGAAGGGGCCATAAACATAATTCTGAGATTTTTATTTATTTATTTATTTGTTTGTTTGTTTGTTTATTTATTTATTTATTTTAGATGCAAGATATTCGGAACCCAGAAGGAACTCAGTATAGCTCCCATCCTCAGATGGCAGCCATGAGACCAAGGGGTCAGCCGGCAGACATCAGGCAGCAGGCAGGAATGATGCAGCATGGCCAGTTGACTACCATCAACCAATCCCAGCTGAGTGCTCAGCTTGGTTTGAACATGGGAGGAAGCAATGTTCCCCACAACTCACCCTCTCCACCAGGGAGCAAATCTGCCACTCCTTCACCATCCAGTTCAGTGCATGAAGATGAAGGCGATGAGACCTCTAAGGTATGAACAGGTTATTTTTAGGGCCCATGGTTACTTTTAGTACCCATTTTGTCATCTTCTTTGACCTCTGGGTGGCACAAGTCTCTATCCTTTAAATGAGAAATTTTGGTGGAGACATATACTTGGTTAATGAAGCATGAGGTTTCAAACCAAATGGCTTAAACCATGTGCCTGGCCAATTACACTTGTAGGTTCCTAATTATCCTTTCAATACAACTGTATTAAGCATAAAAGTCGCTCACACCCATGAAAAGCACTAGTCTGCATAATAAGGCAGAATAAGTCTTATAGGACTCAACTTCCAAATTCAAGCCTAATTTATACTTGTTCAGTAACATCTATTTCAATATAACTATTTTATCTTAAGAAGGCAACAGCCCTGCAGGGGTAAAAAGGCTATGTGACTGTGAGTATGTGTGTGAGTGTGTGTGTGTGTGTGTGTGTGTGTGTGTGTGTCTGTGTGTGTGTATTATAATATTATGGTTAGTTGAAACCCTTAAAATCATCTGACCCAACCATTTCATATTGAGGACAAGGAAAGAAAGGGCCAGATGTAAGAGATGGGTTCTTTTAAAAAGAGATGCCTGAACATTTTGTGGTATATCTTTTGTAATCCCCATTCCAATACGGTTACCTCTGTATGTCCAACATCAGTGGTATCATTCTTTTTAAGTTATCTAAATAGGAAAACAGGTTAAGACCTTAGGTGCAGAAGGTAATTAGTTCTCTAAAATACTATAGGCAACTTTTTTGAATGACTGCATGAAAACTGAATGCACTTTCACCTGAAAACACCAAAATAATATTTTTATTGCCTTAATCATCAGACAAGCATCCCAAATTCACCCCCATGAGAAGGACTTTTGTGCCTAGTTACTGTGGAAAAAAAAAAACACTATTAAATAAGCATTGTGTGTTCCTCCTCTTTGTCTCCTTAAAAATCTTACTAATAGTCATTCGTGTCAGCCTCTCTATTCTCTTTTCACCTTTATAAGAATTTTATTTTTGGTAAATGAAACTGTCAACCTGATGCCAAAGGTAACCTTATGGGACTCTGAGATGTATGGTTAATTTCTAATAGCTACACTAATCTTTTAAAGGTCCAGGTGAATCACAATTCATAGATTTCTTTAGCCTCATGACAAGACTGCAATAATGACTGTATTTTCTTGTGTTCTGTTTTCTTGGTACTCTGGCATTTGGGACTTAATCCTGGGGAGACTACCCCTTGCATGGCTAGCTAATTCCTGGAGGTAGCAGATGACACCCCTGAAAGCCCCCTTTTGTTATACAGAGCAACCTACCCAGAGCCCACTTTCTTACCATCTCCTTTATCACACTCTAATAAATAAGTCTGTATTACCCCTGCCCTCTGTCACCCCAGGGCCAGGCATCTGACAACTGGGGACCATCCCTCCAGCTCAGAACCTACCAAAACTATTCAAGCTATCAATCCTAAACTTACTCAGCACTCCTGTCCTGCTTCCTTATTCCTTCCCACAAAATTGTCAAGATTTTCTGGACCATGCTCTGCCCTTGCCTCCTTTCTACCTCCTGACTGGCCTGAGTGCTTTCTCGCGTGGCCCTGTGTAGCAGGCCACGTCTCCTCATTCAGAGTGATCTATGAGTCTACACTTCTTTCTTCATGACTATCAGTTCTGTTTTGCCATCTTCCCATACCTGATTAAAACACATCCCAGGACGAATACCAGAACAGCTGCACAACCATGTGTTACCAATGTCAATTGCCCCCACTCTCTGGGACTCTCTCTTTTGCCAGTGGGACAGTCACTCATGACTACGGTGAAAAGACAGAAGGCCAGTTGCTATTAATAATACTGTATGGGTTAGTGGAAGCCTAGACTTTAGCTGACCCTTTAGAGGGCAAAATAATTTTCTTCAGAAAATATGGATTATTCTAATGTGAATTCTTGAACCTAAAAGTAAATAATATCAAGAATTTGTGGCCAGCGTTGTAAATATTGGGTTATGCATCAATGATTCAAGTCAATTTCTCAAACAAAGGTGGCATATTGTATATTATAAGGAAAAAAAATAATGTTCTGCTCATAGTAAGGATCAATTTGTGCATCTGGATTGTATCTTTATCAGTATTCCTTGCTGATATTTCAGGAAATTAAATGTAAAATCAGTAGCTCTTCTGACGGTAAAGTTTATTCCGTATTGTTCTTAATTACAAGAGCCTTTTCCACACCCTTCAATTTATATGAGTCGATGAATGAGTAGAAACCTGAGATTCATAGAATTTATGTTCTCAGATTCTGCCATTTGCTATTAACCCCTTATATCCACATTCCATAATTTTGCTAAGGCATGAATTTATACTTTATAAGTTTCCAAGCTGGTGTGAAATTTTTCCAGTAGAGTTCCTACTCAATTGCTAAATATCCACATCTCAAAATAATGCATATTTCTTTATTTGTGATTGTACAATATAATTCATATGCTCTAGGTGCAGAACTAGAGATGGATTTGTTCAGGTTTAAGGATGGATTCTAGAGATTGTACCTGTTAGAAACAGATTTTTGTCTACACAAACATGTGTAAGGTCCTGTTTAGTTTAAGTATATTTTCTATCTCAAGAAAAGTCACCACCCCTTTCCAGCTGTATGCAATCTTCTTCACTTTCCCTTCAATTCAAAATCTTTCTACCCATTTATTCAATTTATATTTATTAAATTGCTAGAAAAATTCTTTGATGAAAATGCTCAAGCCTTTTTTTTATCACACTTAAGGATTAAAGTAAATTTTCCTTTGTATATAAGTAGAATCTATGTGGAATATTGTATTGCGACGGCTCCAGTTAGATTTAAAACAGCATTAAGTCAAAAAGATCATTTAAATCATTTCAAACAAGCGAACCAAAAAGGAATATTGAGTTCCACACCAGGAAAAAAAAAAAAAGCAGCTTTTAAAGCTTCCCTCTTAGCACTTTGTGCTCTCTTTAAGCAATTACATATTGATTCCAGTTTATCTAATTGAACAATTAAATGAAATAAGTCTGTTTTGACAGGGAGAAATATTGTAAATACACCAGTAGAATTAATTATCACCTTATAAACACTACCCATGGTTTTGATTACTCTGAAGCTGTGTTGGCAGCTTTAAGTCATAAATGAGACATACAGGAAAGCATCAAAGCAATATAAACTTAGGCAGCTTGTGGTTCTAAGCCTGTAATCCAGTACTTGTAATTTAACAGACACTTTAAGACACTTAAAAGTATCTGGCATTACAAGAATATTTTTGGCAGTTTTCCTTTAAGGAATTTATGGGCTAAGAGTCACAGTATATGTATTTTTTTTATCCTTTTACTTTCAGTTTTTCTGTTGAAATTATCCTTATGTCTTATATGTGTCTCATGTAAGTAGCTTATAATGAGATGATATTTTGCTTTCACATGAAGCATTTGCAGCATTTATATTAATATAAGTACTAAAATATCTGGGTTTATCTTTCCATCTAAGTGTGATACTGTTCAATTTCTTTTTCTTTGTTCTTATTTTCTTTATTCCATTATGTTTTTCTTATAGGATTGAAATTTTTTACTTCCTTTTCTCTTTCAGTAGCTTTCCCAAACATACAACCATGGAAAAGTCTAAAACTGATCGATATCTTTACCCACTTCCTTAGATTTACTCCAAATAACTTCCTTCCTATTTATATTGGAAACACTTGTTCATTTTCAAGATAATTTGGTTGTATCCTCTAATTTAATAAACTCCATAAAACACTTAAGTTATTTTATATGCTCTTTTATCCTCCAGACTTAAATACATATTTTTTCACTTGACATCACTTTCTTTATAGCTTTAAGATATTCTTTGGTAAGGGTCTGTTGGGCATAGGTTTACCTTAAAAAGTACTTTTGCTGGGTACAGAATTTCTAGAGGCACAGTTATTATTCTCCATCAGCATTTTAAAGATATTATATTATTCTACTGAGTCCTGGTTTCTGTGTTATTTGTGAGAATTCTACTGTTCTCTATTTTTCTTTGAAAGTAATCTGTCTTTACTCTCTTGCCTTTCGTGCCATGTAGCTTCATTGTGATATATGTGGGTTTCTTCACATTTATCCTTAATTTAATTATCTCCATCATATCTAGAAAATTTTTAATAATTTTTTTGAGATATTGCTTCTGCCCCATTCTTATTTTCTTTTCATTCTGTAATTCTGAAAGGATCAATGTTAGAATTTCTCATCTTATCCTTCACAATTATTTTCTTCTACATTTGCTACTTTCTTGTCTGCTGTGTTACATTCTAATTCATTTATATTTATTTATCAGTTCATACTTTCATGTCCTTTTTCAGATGTATCTAATCAAAATGATCTATTAAGCTTCAAATTTCAAATATATGTCTAGTTTTATTCTCAAATCTGGATATTTTTATAGTTGCTTGTTCTTTACTCAGATTTTAACTCTTTTATTCATACAAACAAGTTAAATACATTTGTTGTATACCCTCTCTTTGCTAATTCCAGTGCATGAAGTCTTTTGTGGACTGATTCTATTTTAATAGCCTATTTTGTTTCATTTTTCTTTTTATTCTTTATTTATAATCAATAATAATAATAATAATTTGCTTGTGGAATGAAAGCTGATATTTATTTAAACTTTAAAAGAATTCTTTTAGATCTGGCTTGAAGCCAGCATCTTTAAAATGCTGATGGAGAATAATAATTGAATCTAGAAATTTTATACCCAGCTAAAGTACTTTTTAAGGTAAACATATTCCCAACAGACTCTCAAAAATGAATTCTTTCATTATCTTCAAAGATGATTTTTAGTTGTTTTTGCCTGATATCTTGGACCATTATAATCTAGAACCACACTTTAGATTTTCAGATGACCCACATGGTAATGCAAATGGCTTTTGTTTTTGAATTTTAGCAAGAGATTTTTCCACCTCTTAGTATCAGGATTCTAGGACAATCATCCTTATAGGTACTAAGACGACCCTTACATGGAAAATTA